TACAAAAAAAAAAGACTGTCTGTTTTTACATGACGTGGACTTATGTCCGCGGTTCTTTTTTAGAAACCCCTGTGACACATTTTGTCTACAATCGACTTATTTTGCTTTAGCGTGGCCACACATCTTTCTTCACCACATACATGTATATTTTCTATGTGAGGATCAGGCTGTAAATCAGCCTATTTACAAGTCTACTGTGCTTTAGAACATGTTAATATCCCCCTTTTGGGAATGGCCCAAAGACGCTTCAGTCAGTAGCACTGCAGAGGGGGGAGGGGGGCACAAGTCTATGCGACACACCGTGTTCCATTTGCATCCACGATCAGGTTTTCAAACTGCTCTAGAAAACGCACAAAAAAGCTCATTCATTTACAAATGAGAAACAAAAACAAAGTGCAGCCTCGGCTGTGTGGAAAACCCCGCTGGTTGGCTTGTGTGGGAGGTGATTGATGAAGGAAAGAGTTGGGGCTTTTGTCGCCGATAACTGGGCCTGTGCAAACTCTGGTCGGAATGGGTCGGCCTCCGACATTGTAGATTAGAGAGGGTGCTTCCCAGTTTGTCACCGGCCCAGTTTGTCATAAATACAGCACTTTAACACTGTAGTTGTAACTTTAGTTTTTGGTTCTCTACCTTCAAATTGGTGGTGTAGAGATAGTCCCTCTAAAATGTCAATTCAGCTTTTATTGTTTAATATGATTTTTTCCTTTTTGTATGCAAATCAAAGCAAATTCCTCTGCAAAATGTCTGCAATGAATGTTCTTTCGTTTTCGATAATTGAAAAATAAAATTCAATTCATACTACCAATCAATCATTCATTTACTCTTTTTATGAGTGTCAGTGATAACTTCCACCATGCAGGACACAGTCGAGGCGGGGTGAGCCTGTGACAAATTGGCATGCTTCCGGTTAGAGAGGGTGCAAGTTTGTAGCGTGTTTGTCCGTGTGTTTGATGGTGGGTGGTTTGAGGTCAGACCGGTGTCTGTGGTGTAGTGGTTAGGCCCTTGTCTGTCGCACGCAGGAGACGCGAGTTCGATTCCCGAATGGGGAGAAGTTTTATTCAGTATCGTGATTCTTTCTACTGGGGCAAAGTAAAGTTGTTCCCGCATCCGATCCGGACATTGGGGACTTCCAAGGCCTTCGGCATATTGTGGTAGGGTGACCAGTCCCTTTCCACGCCGCCTTTACTTCCCCAGCTCAAAGTCAGGTACCCATTACTGCTGGGTGGGCAGGAGGGGGCGAAAATAATTCGTACACGAACCGAGGCTCGAACCCGGACATTCCGCTTAGGAGACGGGCGCACTAACCACTCTGCCAAGGTACAATTGTTAAAAGAATGGAAACGGTCTCTCTCTCTCTCTCTCTCTCTCTCTCTCTCTCTCTCTCTCTCTCTCTGCGGGAAAAAATCTTCTTGTGCTTGGGAGAAATCAGAAGCTCCCCTCTCTCCTTTCACTGCTTTTGACCTATGACCTATCAGAAGATATGCAAGTCAATGGCCTTTTGAATTGGACAAAAAAATTCCGGGGATGTAGATTGTGCGTCTTGATGAGATTCGGAAAAGAAAAACCCTGGAGATTTCTGTGTTTCAAAAGAGGGAAACTCTCTTTTGGCGCGCACCTGTTTCCCGTGGCCCAGATTAGGCGGCGAGATAAAAGATTTGGCGGTCGGCGAAAGTGACATAGCTAGCGCTTTGTTGTTTCTTCAGGCTCTGTCTTGTGTGTGTGTGTGTGTGTGTGTGTGTGTGTGTGTGTG